GATATTCAGTTTACAAATCGTGTAAGGTAGGGTTTATGTTTTCCGACTGTTCCACCTCCAAGATAGGGTAAAAAGAAAATTTGTCTCCATCACATAATCACTACATCTTTAAAATCAAAGAAGATCCAAGAAGGTAGCACTTGGGATATAGTTTGATTTCACACCAAATGCTTACACCCTAAATGATAAGAAATGCGTGGCAGATGTTGCAGAGAATTGATATCTAAATCTCGTGGGTTAGAGGGTTGGCCAAGGCGGAAGATGCTACAAGCGATCTCCGAAAGTAGGACGCTCCTCCCTTTAGATTTATCCAATTTTAACTAGTCATGGGGGTATAGTCTTATTAATTCTGGTATTAAATCATGTCTGTTAAAAAATATCCCACTATGAAAGGGTCTCAGTTATAGCCGTCGTTATTATCGAGGTTAGCCTCGTATAAACTTTTTAACAATACATCACCACGATTATTTTCCTTGTATATCTTTTCATCTAGACTAAGCACTTTGCGAGCATATTACCGCACTTATAGTATGTCCTTTAGAGAGTCCCTGTCTCAGCAAAGGGTCTGAAATCTGACTTGTAATGCATGTCTTAAAGCTCAATGTCGCAATGCTCAGATTCACGTTTTTCTTTGCCCCCTTTTTTTCCCCACTCACCTTCTCGAGATTAAAAAATCTTTTTTTCCCATTATTGAGCTGAAGTTTCAAAGAATTCACGGGTGGATCTTACTTTTTGAACAGAAGCAACTGTCCATGATTCTCTTCGTGCTCATTATGGCTCTTAGTTTAGCAAATGGGATTGAAAGCATAACAACTGTACTAAAACAGGAAGGGAAAGGTGGTGGTTCAAAGACTGTCCTACTGAATCAAATCTAACGGAATTTATGGATGCAAAGAAGACGCAAAGATTCGTTAGGGAAAATTAGATCTTAACGATCCTAAACGCTCTCCTAAAACATTAGAAATGAAAATCAGTCCGGTGCTATGAACATTTCGGCTCTAAGACTTGTCTCGGACACCTGATCAATCAGAAAGGCAAACTTTAAACGGCGAGAAGAGAGGTAGATAAAACGGGGACCAAAGGTGGCAACTTACGCACTCAATTGAGGCGTAAATGATGTTCACGGCGTTATTTGTATAAGGAAAGAAGAAGGTGATTCTGAGTAAGGGCAAGGTGGGGGATGCGCTAAAAACAAGAGCAACGAGCAATGAGAGTGATCTAACAATTTCCTCAGGAGAGCTATATTTGACTATTGTTAATGAAATCTCTAACATCTTAAATTTTAAAGTAAATTGTTTCAACTCAAGAATAACATTTGATCGTGTTATCTGATCGTCAAGGTTAGAGTAGTCCTGCATTTTATACAGGTCTTGGGTTCCTCCCTATGAAAGAATGGGTGTGATGATGAAAGAGCGCGTTCACGTATTTTCCTCAGAGAACACTGATTTGTTTTCTGAACTTCTTATGTATATCAAGGAATTTACGCTTTTGATTGAAGGACTACTGTTGATCTTGCTAAATTTCTTTGCACTTTTTCTTCTGTTATTTCATGCCTAGGGTAAAACGTTATTTTTCAATTCAGGATTACAGAGATGAGATCGATTCAGAGCATTTCAGTAAGTTATAAC